CCATAATTCCAGCCTTAATCATAATTTTCCTAGACTGCTTGGCTTAAATACTGTAAGATTCAATTTCCAACTCATAAGATGCTTGTTAGTAAATATCTCTATGCAACTTAAGGGGATCAAAGTTTGATTTTTAACACTTCATTTTTTTCTAATCAGTAAACGCCATATATCCTGATAAACATCAACCTCCAAAAACAGATTCTAAATGAAAAGCAAATGCTGCTGTATGTTGAGTGGAGACTGAAAGCTTGATCCTGAAATGGAGTCTGGCTGACATAGAAATCTTTGCCAAAATTAGGGCCTAACATATATCCAAAAAAAGAATGGTTTTGCTGTTTAGAGCTCTCATAAGCTGTGATTATTGCTTTCTGTGCCAAGATAACGAAACACTTTAGTCAGTAGCACTGCAGAGAAAGAGAGTCAGTTGATTCTCTGGGATGGGACTTGGCATTGCAAACTTTGCTGTTTCATAGAATAGCAGCAATAATTCCACTGAGACCCTGGCCATACTCAGAAATGGGCAGAGAAATAGAATTGTCAGAGTTAATCATATAATTCACCTGCAGGTAGTTTGAATGGGATAAAATGTATTAAATTATGTTCTACAATACCTGTGATTCAGTATATTCAAGACCCTAGGATAATCAGCTTTACAGTGCAAAACAAGTTCTGACAAAACAGCTTTGTTAATATTCCTGGCATGATTTCCCTTCCTCTCCCCATCACCTACTTTTGTTATTTTCAATAAAAACGGCTACTGGAATCAGTGAGGGAGGAATGAATGTGCATTTTGTTAAAATCCCTCTTAGAGATGGGTGGAGAATATTTCTTTAATTACAGCTCTCATATAAAAGAAGATAGGTACAGTTCGGTTTTGTGGTGGTAGCAGCCTGAAGCAGACCCAGTGGAAACACATACACAAAACCCTAGGAAAAGTAACTGCAGGAAAGCAATCCAATGGAAATAGCTATGAAGACTAATGGAACGTTTGTTAAATATCTCCAGGGGCAAATATCTGGATCCTCAGCTCTATGGGCTGATTTATGTTGCTCATGCACTGCAAAACCACCAAATATTTCCCTAACAAGATAGCTCTGATGAAGGGAAACCCCTGGTGGTATAAAGCCAGCCTTGCCAGCTGCGCACCATGTGCTTCTTGCCCCCACGCAGGACAGGGAATATGGGACAGATTGTACTGTACTCTGGATGACAGAATAGTCCCTGGGAGATGATTGCTGATGGCATAATTCAGAGCAGACCTCTATTTAATGCCACCTCCCTCTTTCAGGTTCTCTGCCACATATTGCATTGCAATATCCTGATTTTTTTTTTTTAAAAAGGGGGCTTTTCTATGTGCACTCATTGCTTGGGTGACATTTTGTGAGGGGGTAGGAGGTGGAACCCCTCACTTTTCCAATTGCAGCTGACAAGCCTATCATTCCATTTCCCACCATTATTTATTATGTCTTTAAATTTAGAAAAAATAAACTCTGAATAGGCGCCCAGCCAGGGCCCTGTGTGCAACTCCACTTAATAAAATGGACCACAGCATTCTGCATTAGTTCCAGCTTCTGAATGATCACAAGGTAGACCACATTACAGCAATGTGGTCTTGAAGCGACCAAGGCATAGATGACTGTCGCAAAGAGTGCATCAGAGAGAGAAGCTACACTGTTATCACTGTAAGCAGATGGAACAAAGTGCAGTTGGCCAGAGCCAGGAGCAGCCCAAGCGCTAACCCCATACCTATTTTGTGCACATCTTTTGCCAATGGGGGACATATTCCTCCAGAATGAGAGGCATCAATGTAGTTTCCCCAACTCAACTAACAAATACTTTCCTCAAGCCCATGTAATTCCAATACGTATCAGTCTTCTGCAGTTTTAAAGCCATGAATGGAGAGTACACTGGTGAGTATTAGTATTTATATAGCTACATAATAAATCCTCTTTGTAAAATATCAGTATAGTACCAAATAAGGATTTTCTGTCCCAAATTAACTTTAAAATATACCATAACTGATTATTTATGTTGATCTATGTACAAAGTTATTGTGTTTCAACACAGTAGTCTGGAAGGGTGAGAAAAGGAAAATAGCCATAGCTATCTCTCTCTGTTGGGCCAAATTCTACTTTGATTTACACTACATCCAATCTCTTTCTAGTTCATGGGGGAGAGAGTAACCTATTCGATTAGACTTCAATATAACATTGCCTGTAGTTTGTTCCCCCGTATTCCTTTAATGTATTAAAAATAATCTAATATCAAAGCAAATAAAGCTAACAAATAAATACTGTCATGTCTTTGGGTAATAAGTCTGCAACAGAAACATTATCTACTTGTCACTATACATTTTATTACTTCCTTTGTTGAAAACAAGTTACATATTGTTAATGGATTAAATTAAATTACATCGTGATTTAAAGACACTTAAACTAATTTTTAAGAATATATATTTTACCCAAAACTCACTTAACTGCCATGTCATTTCTCCCTATTTTCTTTTCCATTATGGCTGATTAACAAGATACTTGGAAATAAATAGAGGCTTTCTCCATTATAATTAGCCTGGCTGTCCTGTCTGATTAATTCATTCCTCTTGCATGGTAGTGAATTTTGAAATCCTGAACATTCCATTTTGAGACTACTGAATCAATCATACAGAAGGAGAAAACAGCTTACAAAACAGAGAGCTTTTGTTGAACATAAAATCTTCCTTACTAAGCAAACTTGGAAAGGAAAATATAAAGTATATGTTAATGGGCTTTTTAAAAAAATACATAGGACTGATTCAAAACCCAGTGAAGTCAATGGAAAGACTCCCATTGAGTAATTGGGCTTTGGATTGGGTTTATAGGGTAGATCATCAGCTAATGTTACCTGTCATATAGCTCTACTGAAATCTTCAGTGGAACAATGACAATTTACCCCAGTTGAGAATCTATGCCAATTTTTTTTTTTAAATTATGCTAGGTTGCAGTAGCTCTTTCATAAGAAACTGATAACACAATAGAAGTTACAGGTAAATTGTGAGTAGTCTAGAAATGAACCCCATCTAAGATATCTTGCTAGGATATAGCAAGGATGATATATCATTAGAACACTAAACCTAACAGATAAATAACCCTAAGGGAAAGAAATCAAAATTCAATACCTCTCAAATCACAGCTCTCAAACCATTCTCTGAAAGCCAATTTTAAGTGGAATACTTACATAATGACACTCTCCAAATATAAAATTCCCCGCTGGAAAAGATATTCATCACTCCCTGTCCTAAAGTGCTGAGTAGTGGCGAAGACCAGTACTGAGTATTTGCCATTTTTCACCCTGCATGTGGCAGCTTTCCAGTAGTAGGGTAATAATGTCTATGGGGTGTTCGTAAAGCAATTTGGGATTCTTGAGGATGAAAGGCACTTAATAAATGAATCATAACTTAATATTTAATGTATCCAGCATTATGAAAAGAGATGAACTGTTATATATTCCTTGCACTATGTAACATTTAATTAAAAAGTAAGTCACAACCCAACAAATGCTGTATTTGAAACATAAAACATTGTGCAGAGATTAGATTAATTTACCAAGCATTTAATGGGAAAACAGTCAAAATATGTTTAGTTTGTTAAAACTTTGCATATTACTGTGGTTGTTTACATGAATAGTCGATCCGCTACCTAAACTAATACATCTCCTGAACTAATATCTGAGCTAATGATAGGCTGTTGTTAGGAGCTGAGACACTTTCTGGGGATTCAAATAAGGAAGAGGTCTTCTAAATGGAGATGCTCCAGGGGAACTTTTTATAATATCCTCAAAGACTTCATCCCTACATGGGGGTATTTGTGAATAAGGGCTTTTATCTAGAAGTCATAGGGCTTGATATTGCAAAGTGTTGCTGAGCACATCCTGAGAGATGATGAATGCTCTGACTGCCACACAAAGCAATGGAAGCTCAGTACCTGGGAGGGAATAGACTACGTCCCATTGAAATCATTCCTGAATCAGGAGCTGAAAGAATACAGACAGTATATGGGCTTGATTTTCAAAGGCATCCATAACTCAAACTGAAATGAACAGGAGCCTCCGGATATTAGGCCATGAATTATTTACATGACCAGAAACTTTGAATTATATCATCCTTCTTTTCTCCTCCGACCTCATTCACACAAATATTTTAGCATGTTTGGAGTATCTTTTGTGTGACTTCTGTGTAGTATTAATGAGCGGTTGAACTGCAGTTGTTAGATTGCTTTTCTTTAGCTTGTCCTTGTTGACTCATAATATTTCATGCTGGGTAAAATCCATGACCTCACTTCAGACAATATAAAAATGATGCATTTGGCTTAAAAAAATTGTATGAATGACGGTCATATCAAAATGTACTGCATGGTATTCTCTAGGTGTAACAAAGTGGAAATGGAAGTCTGATTTGGGGCTGCAAATTTCTCATTAAGGGGTCATTGGTTGCAGAGACCTTTCTCCAGGAAGAAAAATATGTTAAACCCAAAGGTGCTTTGGGTTACAGGTTTATGAAGATTGAGAGACAGATATTATTTCTAAGCCAGTTGATCATATATGGCATTTTATAGCCAAGAGTGTTAGAGACAAAAACACATACTTAGTAGCAAATACAGGCAAAATGCCATTTGGATGCGTTAGTGTTAAATTGCAAAGATACGTTGTGCCATTAACAGAAAGGCTGGAAAGTGAAAAACTTAGCACAGAACTCAGGGGGTTCATTAAAAACAGATAGAGAGAAAACTTCACCCAGGGAAACTCCAGAATGAATCTATTTGAAAATGCTGGGGGTGGTGGAGGGGAGAAGGACAAAAGAAACAGCATCAAGACTGTGGTTTGGGCTCACTCAGCATTAAGTCTATGGTGTTTGAGCTCAGATACCAAAGCTATGTCAAAAGCTTTCAATTAAATTAAAATGACCCTGCATAGTTCCTGTGCAATGACCTTTGTCCAGAACTGAGTGGATTAGTTCAGGAAATTTATGAGAAACTGAACTAGACACCGAAGAGAATGAAAGCACGAAGGTTTGCCTGAGATTTATTTGGTCATTTAAATGTTTGCAGACTTGGTATTAGATTGGGTGTTTTAAAAATTGCTATAATATTTGAAAGAATGAAAGCCATTAGGATGGACACTTCTATATTACAAAATTTGAAGAAGGTTATGAGTGTTACCATCCTATACTTATTATAGAATGTTGTGTCCCAGTGCAGAGGATAGAGATTTATTAATATAATACAGGGCAATACATTACAATGATTGGATTATTTTCCCCTCCCCCCATACATTAAATACCAAATTGAGGTCAAAAAATTGGAATGCATTAGGACCTAATCTAAAGGCCATGGAAGTAAATGGAAAGATGTCAATGATTTCACTGGATGAGGCCCTTGGTGACTTCATTGCCTCCAAAATCCAACCTGCCAGGTAAATTAATGTAATGGAAACTTTGGAAGGTCTTTCAATGTAGGTAAGAAATTGAGTTGATTCATTAGATGCTAATGAGCTGCAGATATCATGAGACAAAGGGTTGAAAGAGGGCTTATATACTGCTGATATTAAATTGTTTGCCAGCTTAGTCAATGGCAATAGAGTAAAATCTGATTTAAGCAACCACTTACGAGATTTGATAAAACAGATGGTCTTCTAATAAAGGTGGAGGACAACCTTTTGATGTGATCTCCAGGCAGAATACTACTCAGTAAAGATGATTATTTGTGCAGGCTTTAGTAAAAAAAAAAAAAGAATGTTCCTAAATTTATTTATTGCTTGCCATACATCAAAGTGAAGCCTATCTGTGCATCAGGAAGGTATAATGCACAGTTGCTGCATTTCATCACAATTCATAGCTTTGCCAGAGGTCAAGGTAATACAACATTGGAATATCATTCAAATTGTGCTTCCTTTCTGAAAAGAAAATAAGTTTAGACTTCTCCACAGTGAATGAATACCTTTCACTGTGACAGTACTTCTCCAGATGCACATTTATGTTAGTGATTCGCTTTATACCCCAATAGTCAATGAGGCAATTTTTTATTTGACATTTAATTTGGAAAATGCTTCCAAGGTATATTTATCTAAAGTGAAATGTGATGATAAATGGGATGGGCTTTAGGAAAATAGCGAGGCCAAACCTTTGCTTAAGCTATGGAGAAATGAATACCTTTCCAGAGCATAAAAGAACCTGAACACTTCTATTTCTGCCACACACATCAGATGCATGCAACAGAAGAATAAAGCAAAGAACAAAACGTTGCAATGTGTAATGTCTTGTAAATATGCAGGATAGTCATGTCTCTAATCTGATGAAAATATAAAGCCCCATTTCTTTGAAAAACAAAACAAATCTGTTTTCTCTGCAGAGCAAATAACTGTCATGTTAAATACACCCTCCACCTTCTCAACGCCACCAATTGCTGGAAGCCATTCATTTTGACAAATTGGAGAGAATACAGAGACAAGCAACAAAATGATTAAGTGGCTGGTGAGAATGACTTGAGAGGGAAGATTAAAAGGAGTGAATTTGTGTGGCTTGGCCAAACGGCAATTTTAAGGAGGTTGGTGAGGGATATAACTCTACATGTGAAATGAAATTCAACACAGATTTATGCTGCCCCAGATTCCTAATGGTGAGGTATAGTGCCCCTACGGGAGTGAGTGTGCTTATTTTATTGGGTCATTTCAACACTACGCAACATATGAAAATAAATAAATAAATAGATAACTAACCTCTAGAGGGCAAACCTGCCCTGGGGTCCAGATCAGTGCAGGGCAGCCACTTGATCAGGTCACGGCAAAGGTAAGAAATGCCAGACTCTCTTGCCTGAAGCCAAGAATCAAGATAATATATCTAGGCTTCAGTTAAAATATCACAGAGGTACACAATTTTCTTAAAATGGATGATAATAATAGATTGTAAATAAAGACATACTTAATTCCCTAACACAACTAACTTAATATTCAAATCAAGGGAACAAACAAGTTTACTCTACCCATCATAACTCCACCTTCCTCAAATGCTTGGAAAAACAAATAGTCTTTGCAGGGAGCCTTGAAGGTAAACAGATTCAGCCATCAGAAAATGTCAGTGATGGAGCTTGAAACACACACACTGCAACTTGGCTTTGAAAAATGAGAAGAATGTAGAGCAATTTTCTTTAATATTGAGGTAGCTGGATTACAGTTCTGATCAGATGGCAAACAAATGTAGATGTATGGAACTAAATAAGAATCTTGCCTGCGATCTCTGTGTCAACAAATTAGATAACTATGTTGGCAACTTGGCAGCTTATCTTGTTTGCATTTGTAAATTAAGTTTTCAGTACTTGCATTTACAGAGGTGGGTTTTTTTTCATTTATTTTACACTTCGTTCTCAGAAGCAGAATGTCAGTATATTTTAAGAAGTTCATTGGTTTAAAAGATCCAGTGCAAAGTATCTTGCGTCTGTGGAATTTATCCAACAAAAAATGGCAATATGAAGATAGTAATAAATTATGTATTCATTTTGTAGGATACCTGTGATTCTCTACTTGACTCCACAATTTCAATCTGACCCCAAAGGTGAAGAAAATTAAGGATCAAATTATCGGAAGTAGGAAAATGCTCATGCATATCTGACAATGTGGCCCTTAACTGCTGTAAGTAATTTTCAAAAGTCCATCTTTATTGTCATGCTGGAGACCTCCGTCTCCAGTATATAGGCCCAATTCTCCTATCATTTGCACTAGTATAACCCCTATGATGTAGTTACTTCTGATTTACACTAGTGAAAGAAGAATTAACCCTTAAGGTCTTGATCCATTGATTTTAATGGGAGTTAATCAGGCCTTTTTGCTTCCGAGTCAGTAAAAGGTTGGGAATCATCAACAGTGGCCCGTGAATGATAAAATGGGCACTGGTGAATTTTAAAAAAAAAATCATAAGGGTATGCATGACTGATACAAGGTTACGTTTTTTGTATGGTCCATTGCAAAGAACATTCAAAGGCTGTGCCAACTTATGTATGCTTAGACACATTCCAAGCATCATCATTGAATCATTCATTCATTGCACCTTTGTCATTGTGGGACTGGTTGAAGCACATTATATTGAAGGAGGATGGGATCATGAGGAGTAAAGAAAAAAAAAGTAAGAGGTTCCTGGTGAGTCTTTGTGAGACGCACCAGTTCCTCGGAGAAGAAAAAACTATATATAGAAAATGCAATGCAAATGCATTTCAGGATTATGTCACCACTGTCTCTTCTCACTTAAATCAGTGCTGTTTGAGCAGCACCTCTGCATAAATGTTGAGTTTTCAATTCTGAATCCCTGATATTTGAAAAGCAGTTGCATGGCCCAGAGTTCATGCAACTTAACATATATTTTCTCAGGCATTACAGAAAACTATTTTAAACATGTTGATTTCCCTAGTTGTAAATGACTGCTTCTTTGGAAGATATATACTACCTGTAAAAATAGATTTGAAAGTGATCAACCTTATAGCAGGTATTATATCCATCAAAGTCATATTCCTTATTGAAATAGAGAACCCTCTCTTCTCTCCCAAAATATTCTACTCCTTGCTCAAGTATCCAGGCTATGGCAAAACTTTGGATGCGTTCTCATTGATTCTTGAGGAAAAAAGAACCCATTGACAAAAATAATTGACAGGAAATTATATATATTTGCCAGTCAGTATCTACTGCTGTTGCTTTTCTATTCTAGGGGCCAGAAAATGGCCCATCCTACACACCCATTAAGGCACCCTCTTAATTCTCTGTTCTGGCTTCTCCTCCATGGGTAGGAGTGGATGGATTAGAGTAGTTAATGGAGAGGGAGTGGGTGGGAAGGGGCGTGGAAGAAGCATTGGCACTATCACACAATGAGCTGGCCAGTACAGCTGCATGAGAGTGTTAAGAAACGTATTCTCTGCTGGGAATAGGGCTAGCATGGGATATATCCCTCCCCTCACAGCAGGTGGTGGGAGAAATTGGACACAAATTGTGACCCTGAGTCATAGTCTCCTTCCTAATCTGCTATTGGGGCAGAACAACTACTCACAGGTCTATGTACTGGGCTCACGACAAAGCTATGATTTGCCCTAAGTACTCTATATATAAAGTCTCTTTATCCTTCACATCCTCTGTTCCCAAATGCTACAGCATGAGCATATTAAAAAAGCATACTAAAATCACTTGAGGTGCTTCACCAAAGCAGTATCTGTCCTCTATTGCCTTCCAAAGGCTCACTACGAGAAGACTAGTCACAATAGAAGGCTGATTGTGTACTTATTTTTAATTAATCTAAGAGTATTAGGAAGCTCAGAGTAATTTATTTTATCCTACAGGGTACTTGATAATGTATGGTTTAAAGAGCAATATCCACCTATAAGGCATAGTACAGTATGTATGTGTTGAACAGTAATTCTCAATTACCCAATCATGTCTTGTAAGAAGTCTCCAGTGATTCATGTGGAAGCCTAAAGTAACTTGTTATTGGCCAGAGATAACTGGTGGAGACCTGCCGTTTATTTTTTACACATAGCTTTTTAAATAGTTCACAGAAGCATTTTTGGACTAAGCTGTGACAAAGCCCACATCTTCTGGAAGAGTGGTCAGTAAATCGCCCAGCTATATCAGTCTCTCTTAGCTTTATTGTTTAATGAGGTCAAAATTTAAGGTGCACATGAATTATGATCTCATCCAAAATGAGAGATTGGAACTTCTGACTTTGTCACCTCACCAGTGACCCTCATAATGCCTTTTCTGACTTTATGTTTCAAAGCAAAGGCAGCTGTAACAGCCACTCTCTCACTATATGCTCACAGACAACTATCACGAGATGAATTACCTAGATATTTAACAGCAACCTGGGACAAAAACTGATCCTTTCAAAGAGTCTGGATCATAAAACTCTAAAATGCCTGTTTCCCTGCAGTAATTCAGCATAAACAAAATGAATGGGACTTGGCGGAAAACCACCATGAGAACAAAAAACATCAGAAACTCAAAGATTCTCATCCCATAATATTTTACTCCACTTCTAATTTATTTAAAATCAATACTATCTCTAAGCACTTTAGCCAGATAACTGTATGCTCTCAATTATGCTACTATCAATCCAGAATAACTCCACGGGCTTTCATGGCTCTAATATAGCCCTCTTTTTTGGTGCATCTGAATTCAATTCAGCTTTATGCTAGTACCTTTTATTCATGATAAAACACTTGAGAAAAATTGGAATTGTTTTGAGGAGTCCAGGAGGTGCATGCTGGTGGAAAATATTGTACATACAGATAACTGACAGATTGTGCAATCATTTTGATAATATGGATTTGACCCCCTTTAATAGCAGAAATTCGCAACAATTTCCAGTGTGTACATGCACAGATAATGTATTTGGCATATGTTGTCTTCAATCATAGCTTTTATGCCCTTATTAAGATTTTGCCCAGATGTGAAATACCTCCTGGAACCTTTTACAGTAGCTAGTCTCATAATATAGTATTATGATGTCATAATCATAATGACATCATCATTCACAAGGCTTAATTCCTGCAAGGTATGGAGGACCTTTTACAAGATTCTGGAGAGCAGGTGCTGCAAGGGGAGTAAAGAGTGCTCTGTATGTGCAGGATATACTAAGCAATTAGTAGGATTAAGCCCTTAGTCTTCAACTCATCTGTCTAGTGGAGTATATGCAGACACATGGGTTGGTTCATATGGCTCCTCTCTTAACACATGTGTAATCAACCCTAATGGTTTCACAAAGAAGCTGTAGAAATGGCATTATCACCAATTCATACAAACCTGAGCAAGGCAATGAAGCAAATAACCAACCCATTCATACAGTTAACTAAAGATATGTTGGCATACCCACAAAATGGGTATAATATGTTCTAAACTGCATTTGGAACCACCCATCAGGAATAGTAAAAAAATCAAATACTGTGACAAAGTTCCTCCTCTACCTTGGTGGGTCCTGCGCTTATTGGCAGATTTTCTTGCCTCAGAGATTCACCATGTGGGTTGGGGAACAGCCCAGAGACCTTCCCCTCTGGGAGAAGGCACAGCCCAGGTCAATTGGGAGGTTTGGGGGGAACCCAGGCCCGCCCTCTACTCCAGGTTCCAGCCCAGGGCCCTGTGGACTGTAGCTGTCTATAGTGCCTCCTGTAACAGCTGCATGACAGCTACAACTCCCTGGGCTACTTCCCCATGGCCTCCTCCAAACACCTTCCTTATTCTCACCACAGGACCCTCCTCCTGGTGTCTGATAACACTTGTGCTCCTCAGTCCTCCAGCAGCGCACCCACTCAGCTCCTTGCACCTCTTGCTCCCAACTCCTCACACTCACACCACAAACTGAAGTGAGCTCCTTTTTAAAACCCAGGTGCCCTGATTAGCCTGCCTTAATTGATTCTAGCAGCTTCTTCTTAATTGGCTCCAGGTGACCTAATTAGCCTGCCTGCCTTAACTGGTTCTAGCAGGTTCCTGATTACTCTAGTGCAGCCCCTTCTCTGGTCACTCAGGGAACAGAAAACTACTCATCCAGTGACCAGTATATTTGCCCTCTACCAGACTCCTGTACCCCACTGGTCTGGGTCTATCAGAATACATAGTATTAAAAATGTAGTGAAATTAAGTGGCTTGATGAAAAAGGGGAGAGCAGGCATTCACAGACAGGTTTAGAATATAATCAGTGTCATTGTTTAAGAGAAATCAGAGTGAAGTCATTAGAAAAGCCTCTGATTCATCACAAGTTGCAGTATTGCAGGAGGCACACGCTATTCCTCTCACAATATCAAACATGTATTCATTGCTACTGCGACTTTTATCCATAACATGCCTTTTGATCTCCCAAGTTAAGGTGGAAGGATGATAAGAAAACTAAAGGCCAAATTTTCAAGCTTGCTCTGCTCCTGGTGAGCTGCTGAAGTGTCACAAAAGCAGCAGAGAGTGGTCACATTTTCCTAGCTAGAGATTTCCCCAACATGGAAAAGTCCTCTGTGGTTGTAGAGCCACCATAGGGAGTGAGTTGGGGGGGAAAGGAGGAGGGAGCAGATGTTGCCAGAACATGGGTCTAAGATGGCCAATGACCTTTGGTGGCCATTGCCAAGTGGCGTGGTTTAGAGCAGTCTAGGCCAGGGATTTGGTTGGTATGAAACAAGGTGTGGCTGGCCTCAGAGTGTGGGAATTGTAACCAGTTCTCTGATTAAGCCCTTCTCCCCACACCCTCATTGCTACAACTGAGAAACCGGACACCTTTTTTTTTTTCAAAAAAAACAAAGAGGGTCCCAAGGAGTGAAATTATTGGATTCCAGTCCACATGTCAAATCCAATCCTTCTGTAAGATAAATCCTCCTCCCTGGATTCTTGCAGAGTCTTTTAGAACTGGTGTATGGGCATTATGGTGATGCTGAGAGGCTATTTGCATTGTGGCAACATGTAGGAGCTGCAGTCATGAGCCAGGACCCCATTGTGCTGGGTGCTGTACAAATACAACAAAAAGATGGTCCCTGCCACAAAGAACTTACAAATACAAAAATGAGAGCGGCTTCTGGTTTTTGTGACTAAAAAGTGAAGCAAAAAGCTTGAAGAAAATCAAATGGATGGTTGATCTCATTATCAGCTAATATTTGTTTTAAAGCAGCCGGTGGAAGAGAAAAATTGAGAAACCTTATGTGTTTGTGAGAAGGAGAATTTATTTCACATTTTCTTGAATTTTACAGAGGCCCATGCTGAGCTTCAAATTTTTTAACGTGTCTGAAAATGTTGCAATAAATTTGTGAATGAGACTCAGGTAGAGTGTTCCTAAGCTTCAGTGAGATGTTCTTATCTTTGCATAATTCATGCTAAATATACAAACACATGTAAATTGCCTCATTCCTCCCCCTACTTTAAATGAAGTGGAGTAATCTACATTCTAAATAAGATTAAAGCTCTATAAATCCTGCTAATTCGATTGTTGTATCAATACAAAATAGTTTTCTGTTTTCTGGGGCCATAACGCCCTCCAGTGGCAAAATGAATGCTCCAACTGAAGCTTTGAAGACAATCTCATTCTGCAGCATATAAAATATAGAACTGTCAGTCTGGCATCTTTTATCCAATGAATAGGCATTCGGTAATCACTTTGCAACCTATTTAGTAATTACAGTGCAATTGTAATAGTATAATATTGATAGTTTGGGGGAATGGCTGTCTAATCAAGGCTTTAATTGAGGTATTTGTTCCCAAAAGCCTCCAGAAAGTGGATGCATTAGTAATATTGTTAGATTATTGTGGCTGCTGAATTTGGGGGAATGGCACATCCAATAATTCATTTTCCAAACAAGCACAAATATTGGCCATACTCAAATCTATGAATAGGGACTAATATTGTGTACAGTCTTTATGCTATTTGAGTATTCATTTGCTCATTCCCTCCCTTTGCTGCTGCTACCACAAGTTAGAAGTGACAGAAATACGGATGTGTGCTCCTAGCTGTGCCATGACCTGCCTGGCCAGCTGAGGCTCATTGGCCTACTTCTGGCTGAATGTTCCCTATCTTTCCAGTCTGTAGGACCCCGCTGGACAGGGGGAAGGGAAGAGATCTCCCTGGGACCTTCAAAAGGGAGAAGTGAAGATTCTCTTCCCCAATCCCAAGTAGATCACCGCATACTTCCTCTTCTTGGGACTCCAGGTGCAGAGGTGAAGGTCTCCCTACCAGGCCTCGAAGGACAGAAGGAAGTGTCCTGTAAGCAAGCCTCCTCACAGAACTACTTCCCAGCAAATCCCAGCTTCATCCTTTCCTGAGCCTTGAGTCATCTTCTGGAGGGGAAGCTCAGTGACTTATTTTATGTCTTCCCCTAATGTTTTCAGGGAAACACATGCTACCTCCCTCTCGAGTTCTCTATGAGGCTGGTGTACTCCCTGGAGAAGTAAGGGCCTATTGCAGAGAAGAGACTGGGGAAGATCAGATTTGGATTACAATCATTTTTCTGCTGGTATTTCTCAAACGCTACCCCAGTACCAAGTAGTTCTGCTGCTGGAGGAAAGAGCAAATTTTTTCCATATATTCTGAACCAATTGTTTTGAGAAACAAAGAACAATTGCATTAGGATGCCAGTGTGCAGATACACTGTTTAGGAAAACATTTCCCCACAGAGAAATAATTCAAGAGTTCTCTTTTCCCTTGTTCTCTGTAACAAATGCTACATTATAAAATACTTATGAAAACATCACCCTTTCCTCAGAAATATTATTCAGTGAGCTGCTGACTATCCAACATATTGACAGACTTTCCCTTCTGCTATACTCAGGGGCAGTGATAGGACCATGAAAGGATACTGTCCATGTGACTAACCATTGATGATACAAGGCTACAAGATGCTGAGCAAAGCACTTGCAACTCCAACTGAAAACAAAAGAATCTGAGGGCATTTAGTACCTCACAAGTTCAGGCCCACAATGAGTAGGATTGCTTATATAACCCATCTCCTTTGATTTACTTCACTAGGCAGTGAGCTAATTAGATCCCATCATACCAAAAATACTTTCAGATACCTGTTTTGGTACCAGCAAACCCCAGCTCTTTAATTTTTTGGAGTTTCTTCTAATATATCTTTACAGACAGCCTCTCTCAATGGACTAAACTTTCCTTACTACTATGATTTGCTTTCAACCAATTTGTGTTAAGTGCCTCCAAAAAGGAGTAAAGACATGGGTTGACATTTTCTAGTGCAGCTGAGAAGGGATTGGTGAAAATTCACAGTAGCAAGGAGTGGAAGGAAATGTAGCATCTTTTGTATCTTCCTCCCCAATCCTGGGGCTGTAAGAGTGTCGGTCCAGTAATTGCTGTAAATTAGAACAGCCTGAACACTGCTCTAACCTGTGTCAATTGCTAATGGTCCCCAGGGGCTGTTATTGTAGCCAATAATCTGCCAGGGTAAGGGAGTCCTGGCCATGCCCCCTTTGCTGCATGCAGTGGACAGAAGGTCATAGTAGGTTTCCGCAACATATGGAGAATACACCAGTGGCCAATTAAGCTAGGCTCAGGTCTGCTTTGGACTTGGGAGGTGGCACAAAGTGACTCTAACACACCAGTGAGTGGGGCCTATTCTGCCCATCTGTATCAGGAATCTGAATGTATTTATCCTCTTTTTTGACATCATTAAACTTAGGGACATCCATGGCAGTAAGTATTGTACATCAAAACTAGAGATCATAATAATGATGCAATACCGTACGTGGCAAATCCTGTCCCCACCCACAGCTCATGTAACCAGGGTCATGTAGTGAGGAGTTGTACAGAGGATGGAGATTGGGAAAGGCTACTCTTCCCCATATCATAGAATCTGCAGAATGGGGACAGTAGATGGTCTGTGAGCCCACCCATCCTACACCTCCTCTCTATAGTTGTGCATAGTGTTATGGAACCCTTGCATGGGCTTCCTGTTTCTTGTCCCCCTCCCACCCCCCCGCACATGGGATGCCGATGGATGCAGGAAGGAGAGAGGACAGGATTTGTTAACCGAGTCCCTTCACCTCCACCCTTCTCCCCGAAAACAAAAACATACGCGTGTGTATGTGTGCGCTCGTGTTAGAAGAGTTATGCTGCGCGTGTGCAAGTGCTGTACCTCATTTACATCAGTGTAAGAGAGAGAAGAATCAGGCCCCCATGTCACTTAATCTCTCTGCCTCATTTGCTTTCACGTGTAAAATTGAGAGGATAGTATTTGGCCTGCCTCACAGGAGTGCTGCAAAGTTCTGTTCACAATGCCCTGAGATTCCCAGATGGAAGTTGCTGTACAAGTTATTCTTACTATTAACATCCATTGAAAACAATAGAAAAGGATCCGAGCTGGGGACTTTGCCAGGAGATGTGTCTGGCTCAGGGGCTTCTGTGGCTTTGGCTGAAGTGGCACACCTCAACATCAAGACGTATTAATCTAATGATTCCATCGATTCACAGCATATCCAGGTTAAATGAAGCAAATGTCATTTGACTGTTTTAAATTTTGTGCTCATTAAGACACGTTTAAAAAGCAGAGAAGTTCAATCTTTAAGCATAATAAGCGGATACTCCACACATAGCCATTTGTGCTCTGGTTAGGTATTTTGCAGCAGAAAGAGAATACCCCTAGATTGCTTACAGATTAACTACTGCTCTAAGAGTCCACATGATACTTAGGCACAAGGGGACCGATAAACAGCAGAGCAACAGCCTTATTTTTCAGTTTCCTGGCTTCTGTGGGCTTTACTCAGCTCCATGACTCTATTTTCACTTATATTCTGTCTATGAGCCTGCAAGATGGTGGCTATCCCATGGGTAGCACATCTCTTCTGTGGAGTCATCCAAGTGAAAAGTGTAGTGTAGTTGCTAGAGAATAAAGGCTGACATTTATCCTACTGGGGGGTGGACTGGACCAGGCAAAATAAGAACTAAATAAAAAAAATTATTTCTGGTAAGAGAGGGAAAGCACATTCCTACAGTATATGTCTGGACAGCAGACACAATTTTGTATTTAAATGTGCACACAGCAAATATTTGAAGTAGTTTTATTTGGGAGACAAATTATCTGAAATAAGAACTCCTCCAACCAGTTGCTCCATGCCTCAGATTTAAACGATTACAAAACGAGAATGAGTTTGATTTAGTTATTCTTTTAAATAGGAGTCAGACAAAATTTCGGCCAAGGAGAAGTGCTATCAATACAGAGCTTCTCCATGCAGTCTGCCATTCTTACAACCAGGGGCGGCTCTACGCACCAGCAAAGCAAGCAGGTACTTGTGGCAGCCCATTTGCAGGGGCGGTAGCTGGCAGGGAGCCAGCATGGGAGCTGAGAACCAACAGGGGGCCCTGGGAGCTGTAGTTCCTTAGTTAGCTCCCTGCCTATAGAGCCAGCCCTGGAGCAGGGAAAGAACTACATTTCCCAGCATTCCCTTGGCCGCTATCAATAGGAAAGGGAGGGGGAGGGAGTATGATACCTGAAACCTCATGCTGCAGCTTGCTGTGAATGGAGAGCTCACTGCTAGAACGGGATGGCACTGAACAGGGAACAAGTAAGGAGTAGAAGGCTTTGGCCCAGATATCCCCTTCAGAAGACATCCCCAGCCTGGATTAGGGATACTGGTGTGACCTCAACTTGCAGCCCCCAAAGAAAGAATTGGGTGGACTAAATGGACAGTGCACCTCTCTATCTGAAGCCTAGCAAGGGAGGTATGTGAATCCCACTAGAATTTAAAATGAAAAGTAAGGCAGGGGAGGCTCTGGACCTGGGCAGCTTTAGATACAGTACCAGGCACGTAGGAGCATTTCCACATGTGAGCCATGGAAGCAGAAATTGACTTTTCCTTTCCAGATTTAGCTAATATTCAGAAAGGGAATCTAGCACCTGCCTTTCAGATTTGAACACCTCAAAATTCAGGAGTGCTCACGCTCAATTTGGGCAGCTCTTGCTTCATTTCTCCCAAATCAAATATACTGATCTACTGTAACTTGCTGTAGAAAAAGTAGGATAAAATTGAACAAGAAATGCTTCCCAGTGGTTATTAGGACTGGAATTGTTATTTTCAACAGCCATTGTCCTTTTTTTTTTTAGTTTTATTTGTTTAAAAGGAAAACAGTGATATTGCATTGGCAAATTCCCCATAGAAACAAAGAGTGGAACAAAAGAATAATAAAGGCACCTCAACTTTTCCTCATTTATGGAGGACAGTCTTATAATATGCATCCAGATATCCTCCAATC